TGTGAAGGGCCACATACCTATTCAGTTTAACAAAATTTCCTTATGATCAAATGTTCAAAACCTTATCTGCTGAAAAAGCACTAGTTTCTGGCTTACTTGTAACGTATTGCCCCCACATTTTGGTACTAGCACTATTTTAAGTCACCGCTTTTTAACAATAGAGAAAACATAGCTTTTACTCCCCGAAACAACCTGGACCTCAAAGTCCAAAAAGCACAAGTTCAACAGACTTGAGACCAGCTGAACATTCACGACTACATCAGGTGGAGGGAGAAATGAGGCTGCTCACACAAGAAGCAAGACATTAATGCAGCTGCATTCAAGGAAGGTGCTATCAGGCTATTGATCCTGGTGTTAGTCACAGCATCAATAATGGATGATTCAGAACCCGAAATATATTCAGTGATTACTTCCCAATAAAAAAAAAGACGCATTCTGACAAATGCATTTGTGAAGAAGTAGCAAAAACCTAGATACTCTGCAGAGCATGCAGGATCATTTTGCTAACTTGGGAGTCAGCTGCTTTTCATATAGCATCATTTTTGTATTTTAATTTACGCACAGACTGACAAGTTTTAACTTTTATTAATCCTTGTTTATGTGAGGTTTTAACTGTTACCATTTGCAACTTCCATGATCTAAGCAAACCATTTCTCTTTTTTATTTTTTCTTTCCCCTCCTCCCCTTCCAAGCTTAACTATGGGACAACTTTACGAGAAGGAAAAGGATGAGGATGGATTCTTGTATGTTGCCTACAGTGGAGAAAACACATTTGGTTTCTGAATGGTGGGTCTTGGCTACTGTACCATCCTGCTGTGTATCTTGTAAATAGCTGATCATTTTCTGTTCTGACATCCACAAAAGTTCCTTGGATATACATGCGTTTGTAACTGGATTTATTTCTTAATATATTGATAGGTCTTGTTTTATTAGACTGTTAAATTATCAAAAAAGTTTTGTTGTTTTTGTGCATTTTTTTCTCTCATGGCTATAAATTCCCAGAGCCTCACTCCTTTGGGTGATACATTTGATGACATTGATTAATTAATAAAGCAAAGTAGTTGGGCTATTAAAATGTGAAAAGAAGAATATGCATTTATTCTGTTTTGAGGTGTTAGTTTAAGAAAAATAAAAATATTAAATTAGTATTGGAAACACTGGATTTGCTAGCTTATCCTAAGCAGAAGCAAGATGCTGATCATGTTGAATTGAGCTAATATGTTCCTTTTTCTCAGTTAACAAACAAGTACAATAAAAATTCCTGTCACAAACAGGCAGTGCTGTCACTTCTTTACCTTAGTTTTGGCCAGAAAGTTATGCGTAACATTTACCAGACACTATACAGCTGCCTTATCACTTACTACCTGCCATATTACTTACTAGACACTGTACAGCTTCTTAACCTTTAGTAGGTGGATGATACAAGGAAGAAAAACTAGAAGCTTTCTGTAGGTTCCCAAGCCAACAGCTTCAGAGCTACTAGATCTCATCAGGAGAGGAGCTATGCCTGCCCACAGGCTGACAGGGAAGAAGTAAATACCATGGGCTTTGGGAAGCAGGACCTAGGTGACAGAAGCATAGCATGTAAGGAAAAGGCAACTAGAAGAAGGTGTGATTCAAATAGGAGACCAGAGAGCTGGAGAAGTGGGAAGTATAGTTTGTACATGAGTTACCGCAGAGAGAGAAATAAAAAAGGAGTTCAAGTTAAAACAGCTGCATGAGCAGCTCTAAAATAAAAATAAAAATTAAGCAGTAGTTGTGTTACAGGTATATAAGCATACATGTCTTTTCCAAGTAAAGATTCTGTAGATATCGGAAGGATATTACAGAACCAAGTCTGTGGAAGAACAGCTTTACTATACAGCTGACGTGCCTGAGGGACAGGATACCATTCCGAGGGACCTGGACAAGCTGGAGAAGTAGGCCCATGGGAACCTCATGAGGTTCAACAAGGTCAAGTACAAGGTCCTGCACCTGGGTTCGGGTGAGCCCTGGTATCAGTACAGTCTGAGGGGTGAAGGAATTGAGAGCAGCACAGCGGAGGACTTGGGGCGTACTGGTGGATGAAAAACTGGATGTGAACCGGCAATGTGAGCTCACAGCCCAGCAAGCCAACCACGTCCTGGGCTGCATCAGAAGTGGGGCCAGCAGGTGGAGGGTGGCAATTCTGCCCCTCGGCTTCACTCTGGTGAGACCCTGCCTGGAGCAGCATGTCCAGCTCTGGAGCCCTCAGCACAGGAAAGACATGGACCTGTTGAGGCAGGTTCAGAGAAGGCCACAAAAATGATCAGAGGGATGGAGCACCTCTGCCATAGAGAAAGGCCAAGAGTTGGTTTTAAACTAAAAGAGAGTAGATTCAGACTAGATACAAAGAAGGGATTTTATTTTTTATTTTTTATTTTTTACAATGAGGGCTGTAAAACACTGGCACAGGTTGCCCGGAGAGGTTGTAAATGCCCCATCCCTGGAAATATTCAAGGTCAGGTTAGACAGGGCTTTGAGCAACCTGATCTGGTTGAAGAGGTCCCTGCTCATTGCAAGAAGATGACTTGATGACTTTCAAAGGTCCCTTCCAACCCAAACTGTTCTGTGATTCTGCTTAGTTCAGGCAGACAACTAGAATTAGAAATGCTGCATTCAAGATAAAGAATTAATCGGAACATGTCAACTGCCACCTTTCAGGAGAAATTCTTCCAAAGATCCGCTGACACTGATGAACATTTCATTTTCTGCCTCTTCCAAAAGCAGAGACTATGTTCTCCTCCCTGCACTTTTCCCTTCTGATTTTAGAGTGGTTTCTCAGTATTGCCTACAGCATTTCCTGACATTTTGGAATTCAACAGATGCAGCATTTAAATACTTATTTTCAATCCCAGAAATGCCATCCAGTTCAGTATAAGATCCTGCAGGCTGAGCCCCTCAGTCTTTTAAATGCTGCCTATTAGCTCCTTCCTTCTCTTTTCTGTATTCATTGACTCCCTCTAGGCTTAAATATGTCTTCAACTCCATCCAAAAAGTGAGGTTAGTATCAGTGTTCAGCAACTCTAAAACTACTTTTAAACCTCCCAAGTAGCAGAAAGCAGCAGTCTACTGTTACAAGTATTTTACAAATACACATGAAAATCTTACCAAGAACAACCTCTCCTAACAACCAGGCTCAAATTTTCGGAAAGAGTTAAAAGAATTTATATCATATAACTGCTCATCTGAAAACTAACCTGATGCCAAGACTACAGAACAACAAGCCTTACGTAACCCATTTCAGTACTGCAGCTGGACAGGAAATGGGAACATTCCAGCCGGGTCAGCAGGATCACCACAGACCCTGCTGATTAACAAAGGGAAGATCAGTATTTTAAGGTATACTTCCTGCAAGGTTTCAGGAAAGGACAAAGGTAAATTTCAGGAGCCTGGAAGTTTACTGCGTATCTCTTTAGGTATGATACAGGACCCTGCCCTTGTCATGCTTTTGCCCATTTACGGCAACTGGTACCATTTCTCTTCAGCAGTTCACCCTGTAACCTATCCACAATGGCATCTGGCCATTTTTCATCCTCTGTTGACTAATGCAAGTCACCATTCTCCATAATCCCCTGCCCTCTACAAACACATACAATGACCCCTCCCTCACTAATACAACTGGTCATACTGGATTTGAGAGGACAGGCTTATACACACAGAATTCAAGTTGTTATTTCTTCAACAAGTCAGACAGTACTACTCTTATTTGACAACCCAAGCGAAAGGATTTGCTGTAATCAATTCTCAGAGTGTAATGCAGTATGTTCTGTTCAGTTCCATACGTAGCTCAGTAGGTTGACTCTAAAGGCTGTTCGGAGAACTGCTGTGCCCATTTTTCAAATCCAAAACTATAGTAAGATACCAAAGAAGAGAAAACTCAAATGACTGAAGCATTCTTGAGTTCTCAATTTTCCACTTCTTTCATCCTACCATTGCCTTGTCCAAGTATTTTACGAACTGTAGTTCACAATAGGAAAAGTACAAACAGGGAACGTGCTCGGTAGCAGTTTAATCCCGAACTTGCTCACAGAAGGCAACAGTTGGGACAGAAAGTTAAGGAGAATTAGCCGCTTCTTCATCCCAGCTCACAATGTCGACTGTTTTGCCATGTAGATGCTATTTGGTAATAAAACATAAAGGCAAAGACTGCCAGAGGCTACTTTCAGTACCCCACAAAGCACCTCCACCTTTGCCAGGCTATTAATGAACACTTGCCAGGAAACAGTGACATAAATGGCTACGGTATCCTTGCTTTTAATTAACCACGTATCACAGGGGCGCAAGGGGATGGACAATGCTTAAACACTGAAAAGCAGATAAATGTTTGTCTGGAATCACACAGGATTGACAGGTTTGAACCAGGTAATTCAGGACGTTTCTTTCCTGCCAACAGAAGCAGAGCAGTTGAAGGGGTATCTGGCAAAGTTCAGAAATTGAGAGATGCATGGGAAATCGTAAGTGGTAATATTTTGCACAGCCATCTCCCCAGCACTCTCTTCCTTCTGCTTTGGCTATACTTAGCAAAGAAAGACTATATGAAGGACTTCCAGAAAAAAGACCATTTAACAAGAACTAGTATTACCAGTTAGAAGCAATGGGGCTGGCAGACACGGAAAATTCCTCCAGGCACCAAACAAGGAGAGCCAAGAGTCATAAAAACATTACTTACTATACATTAGGGTTGTCCCAGCAACACAAAACCAACCATAACATTATGAAGGGTGGAAGAAAAAAGCAGCACTATAATGTTATGACTGCCTGTCTTCCAAAGCACCACTTCAATTTCAGCTGGCACTGCTTCCACTGCAATGGACTATGGCTGATAGAGCATATATATATTCAGATAACAGAGGACAGCACATCACTGCTTCCTTTCTTCTGGAGGCCTATTTTTTCATGCAGCTCAGAACATGAAGTCTGCAATGATTCCCTTCTATTTTTCAATAAAAAGGGGGCTTGAACTCAATCAAAATAGAGACCTCTAAATTGTTTTCCCTTTCCCTCCTATCTCCTTACAGCGCATGAGCTAGAGGACATCTTTTCCTGACCCCTGAACTGCAGAGGTATCCGTTGTGCACCAGGGCTTATGGCTGGATTTACACAGCTGCATGTGTTCTCATGTGAAGTGCAGGTATTCCTCGGCACTCTTGACCCAACCCGGCAGGGCTTGGCTACGCAGCACTTTCCAGGCTTCTTGGTAATTTAATGCAGCTTTCTTGTAGTCCCAGTAGGTTTTTAGAGTCTTCATCCTGACAGAAAACACACAACAAAAACATTTCTATTATCCTATTGGATATTACATCACAAAGTGAAAAAAGCAATCTAAGTACATGATGATGCCCTATAAGCTCTATCATACTACTAAGTGAAATTCTCTTGTGTTTCTAGGGAGACTTGGAGAGGGCCCAGGCCCTGAATGTAGCCCTAGTATAGCTAGACATTGTCATCAGCCTTACAAAAGGAAGCAGAACAACTCTTCTGTCATGCTGCTTACACACTGTTCAGTAAAGAAGTTTCAGTGTTTGACTGTGTGACAATAGACTACAGAAAACTTCCATGACAGCAAAAAATGCTGAAGCAAAGCAGCAAAGGTGGCTAGAGACAGGTGCTTTGAATTGGGTGGAAGTAGCCTTGTTTTGCTAGAAGAATGGATTCATGACAAACTGGTCACGAAACTGGAGAAATGTGGATTTGATGGATGGACCTGGATAAGGAATTGGCTGGATGGGCACACTCAGAGAGTTGCGGTCAACGGCTCAATGTCCAAATGGAGACCAGTGACGTCCCCAGGGATAGGTACCGGGACCAGTGCTGTTTAACATCTTCGTCAGCAACATGGACAGGGGGATCGAGTGCAGCCTCAGCAAGTTTGGGATGACACCAAGCTGGGTGGTGCAGTTGGCACCCTGGAAGGAAGGGATCATCCAGAGGGACCTGGACAGAGGTGGGCTCATGCCAACCCCATGGAGTTCAACAAGGCCAAGTGCAAGGTCCTGCACCTGGGCAGGGGCAATCCCAAGCACAAACCCAGGCTGGGAGAGAATGGCTCAGAGCAGCCCTGAGGAGAAGGACCTGGGGGTGTCGGTCGATGAAAAACTCAACATGAGCCAGCAATGGGCGCTTGCAGCCCAGAAACCAACCACGTCCTGGGCTGCATGACAAGAAGTGTGGCCAGCAGGGCCAGGGGGGAAATCTGCCCCTCTGCTCTGGTGAGACCCACCCCCTGCAGTGCTGCATCCAGTTCTGGGGCCCCCAACACAAGAAGGACATTGAGCTGTTGGAGCAGGTCCAGAGGAGGCCACAAAGATGATCAAAGAGCTGGAGCACCTCCCCTGCAAGCACCAACAGAGTTGGCGCTGTTCAGCCTGCAGAAGAGCAGGCTCCGGGGGGACCTTATTGTGGCCTTCCAGATCCTGAAGGGGTCCTACAGGAAAGCTGGGGAGGGACTTTTTACATGGGCAGGTAGCGATAGAACGAGAGGGAATAATTTTAAACTGTAAGGAGGGAGATTTAGACTGGATATTAAGGAGAAATCCCTCCCCGTGAGGTGGTGAGGCCCTGGCCCAGGTTGCCCAGAGAAGCTGTGGGTGTCCCCTCCCTGGCAGTGCCCAAGGCCAGGTTGGACAGGGCCTGGAGCAGCCTGGGCTGGTGGAGGTGTCCCTGCCCATGGGGGGCTAGGCTGGGAGGGCTTTATGGTCTCTTCCAACCTAAACCATTCTGTGATTCAGTTCACACTGGAAGGGAAGGGGACAAGGATGAACAGGGCAGTTTTCCAGGACAAAATAATGAAGAGCGAGACAAAGGAGAAAATTTTTTTTACCTTCTCCCTAAAGCAAAGAGGACTCAGCAGTTTTACTGCTCTGTTTCCTTTCATGTAGCACCTGCTCCTCACAATCTCAGCTGAACCATTGGTCACTCTCCTGAGTGCATTAACCATTGATTTTCAAAACAGGGAAATTCAGATCTAGAGCATCTGAACCCAAGTGCCTCTATGACAATTTCATCAAGTCTTTTCTCTCTTCCTTGCATTTCTTTCCCAGCCTCTTTCATCTCCCTTTGCCAAACAGCCTGTCAGCCACACGTGGCACATAATGTTCATATATTCTACCCAACATGAAAGGAAAATCACAGGCAACATGACCTTAGTCAAGAGAAAGGAAGAGCCAAACCACTACAGGAACCCTATTCTAAGAAGTCTGAGACCCACCGCACTAACTTCCACAACAGTCTTTCATGCTCCAAGGCAATATTGATCATCTCCTCTGTCCCAAAAAAAGCCTCCCAACCCCTCCAAAAAACGTAACAGACCATCAGAATCTGCACTTCAGGCATTCAGCATTCTGCTATAAATGTCCTTCTAGGACACCTTGACATGCACAGCAAGCCATGAGGTATTATCTATCCTGCAGACCTTAGGAAAGTGCAAGAGTGGAGAACCTGTCTATGCCGTTGATAAACATGGGAGATGTACACTCTTACAAACCTGCCTCCACTCGCACCACAGCGAAGCCATTTTGCATTCTTTACCTCTTTCACATTAATCAAACTCTGTGAAACAAGCTTCCGAGCTGCTCTAGTAAGTTCCATGGCAGGGCCCACTGCAACTCTCCTCCATCTGGCCAGTGGAGCTGTCACAGGACCCCGTTATCAACAGTGGATCATGGTTTAGGAGCATCACTGAACAGGCAAATAAGGCATTCAGGAAACACCACAGGTCCAAGGTCAACCCACCGCAACCAGCTCCCAATCACTAGCATAGGCCAGCTGCTCCTCTCCCAGGTACACCAAGGCATGCCTCAGGCGTAGGACAAACCACCTACACCTTCTGCTCCACCTCAAAACCATTCTCTGGGGAGCAATCTGCATGCTTACGCTCAAGGATAATGACAATCGTTCTTTGGGAAGAAATGCTAGCACGTTTCTTGCACTTAAAAGTATGTCTGACGTATTTGTTTAAGACTTTGAGCCTTCCCTTCTTCACTATATATCCATCTAATGACTTGTCTTTTATCATAGAATAGCTAATATCGGATGCCGTTTACATCTTCAAAACACAGCTACTTGTACCTAGGACATCACATTTAGGATAGTCAAAAATGAAAGAAGGATTACACAACACATTTTTGGACTAGCTCAATCTTGTTAAAGGTGAAACAGCTGTCTTCCTTGCATTTGCTGTGGATGCACACATGTAGGTACAGATCCAGATACAGACAGATATATTCCACCTGCACTAAGCCAAAAGAAAGTCTCCAATGTGTAGCTGTTCTTCATTTCTTCCTTGCTAAACGTTACTCTTTTTACTGAATCTGCTGGCAAATCAATGGCTCTTCAACTCATCTGTCAGTCTGATTCAATTTTAACTAAAGCACATAGGGAATTTTTCTAACCTAGATTATTCCAACAGACCTTTGTTTGGAAACTGTTACAGTAGATAGTAAAGAAAAACACAGCTAACACAAAAGCAAGGCAGACAGTAAGGAGCAGCTCTGCATTTCCACCCCACTGTAGCAGCTACAAAAGCACATGGATCACTACAGGATTTAACAGTGGATGCAACAGGAGGCTGCATTTTAAACAGCTTCCTCAAAGAGCTGCCAAAATCAAACAGATTTATTTAATTCATGCTCAACTTCTGCACTAAGCTTCTAAGAAATTTGCAGCATATACACGAGAAGAAAGCTTTCAAATTCAAAGTACATTACCTTTGCCTAAAAACCTCACATGATTTGACTGTATCTTAGAGCTTTGATTGGGCCATTAAGGCTCTGAGCATTAATAATGAGGAACCTGTGACATTTTTTTGGCAGTAGTGAACACTGGTTTGCTGCTCCAGGCAAAGTCCAGTATAATCGTACCATCTCCAGCCTATCTAAGTCTGCCTGACTACATTCCTTTTATGTTTCCCTTTACTATTTCAATCTTGCCCCCACACTACTGTGCAAGAGAGTGACAGTGATTCTGACGGCTGTGTGCCAGAGACATGAGAGGTGATCCACAGATTTCATTCTGAAAAGTATCACACACTTGGAAACAGCCTTACACAAGCCACCATAACGCTTGAAAACACTCATGTGCTCAGCCACGTGCAAAGCTGAGCAGAAATGGGCTCAGAAGCAAGGCAGCCTGCAAAGAAATGCAATACACTGCTGCAATACTTCCTTCTCAGCAACAAACCCTACACATTAGCCCCATATTCAGTTTCAAACATCTACATTCAACCCATAATGCACTTTTGAGATTACAGATATACTGCACGTGAAAAATGTTGACATAAGCACAAGGCATCAACCAAAATATTACTCTTATACAAAAATTAATTAATCGCATCTAAGAGGGCAAAAGCTCACAGATCTTCAGTATGCAAAAATCTGTTGTGAATCCGTAACAACAGGGGGCCAGGAAACCACACCTGGTCTGATTCTATTAGCATCTTCTTCAGTGCTTCAGATGAAATGCAGTCCTTGCAGGCAAACTTTGTAATTGACACCAATTTTTAAGAAGATACAGAACAAAGTCACAGAGCGACTCATGCCATGAGCGAGTTCCACTCAAATACAACAAGTTTTAACAGTAATGTAAGGTTCTGCAGTATTTGGAAGACTGCTACTGCACTGCAGTGTCTAGCTCGGGAGACAGGATTTTCAAAACATTATTGAAAAATTGGAAAATTAGCTTTGTGGCTTTTTTAATGTCACCTGAGATGTGGAAAAAAATGAATCACACAGTGGAAAAGATGTAGAAACTCAGAGTAATTAAAAAAAAATTATCAAGGCTTGACATAATTATGATAGGTAGGTATTTTTCATGGGGCAGAGAATACTACTTAATAAAAAGGCTCTTTAATCTGACAGAGACCTAACAAGTACCTGTGATGCACAGTATAGAAAAGATTTTCTTAATAAGATCAGAGGACCCTACCATCCCGCAGGCATCTATGCAGTGGTAGGACCACCACAGGAATTGTTTAATGTATGAACTTTAAAAAGAAAATTCAAAAGGAACTAGATAATTGCAGCAAAACTCTTGCCAAATGTGGTGGTGGTTTTGTTGCTGTGTGTTTTAACTGGAGAACAGCGGTAACAGTGAAACTGCACTGCTCCCATCACATTTACTTTCAGTAGGCTGACCCTTTCTTACAATCATCCTTAGTCACTCCAGCAGGAAATATTTTGCAGTCACCTAGCAGAAGCCTTTTGTTTTTCACAAAAGAACACTGGCAAAAAATCTTGAACGTGAAGCCCAAGCAAAGGTTCTATACTTTAGCCTAGATATTTAAATCGTAAAGCGATCTCAAAGTCCTTGCACTCCTCTGTACAATAGACCACGCCCTCCAGTTAAGGTGTCACTGGAACTGGTATCGTCCATGCTGCAGACTGAATGGGAAGGAGGAAGAAAGTAATCTTGACTGTGATGGTCCCTGATAACAATTTAAGAGAAAAGAGGATCAGTCATCCATTTAACAAACCCACCAAGAAACTCAGGGCAGGTTTATGTTACAAAATCTCTCTTCAATTCAAAGGGTTGCACAACCAACCACACCTTGCACAAACTGCCTGGTGACAAAGGAAGGCTTTCACATCCTCAGGTGATGAACAAGGCATGGTCTTTTTCTACCAGTAGAGAAAACAACAACCCCCCCACACACACACCCCCACCCCCAAACAACGCAAATAACTTCCTTTGCCATATTAACACCAAGCGATCTGCAAACAACAATAATACTGCAGAGATTTTTACTTAACAAATCAGATTAATAATGGCACAGCACTGCTACATGGTGCATTGTCATTCCTTTGACAGTGAGCATGGAAAAAGAAAGAAAAATACGTATTTATATACCAGTAATTTCAAAACATTAAAGAAACGACATGTGAGAGGGAGTATGGCAAGAGAATGAAGTATGGCAAGTGGAGGTAAGAGGCTATAAAGAAACGAATAACATTTTAGATAGTCTAGCTAGAGAGATGAGTAAGAATTTAAGTAAGGCACAGAAGACAGAGATCATAGAAATTATCAGAAAGGAAGGAAGGAAGAAAGAAAGTGGGACAGCACTGTCTGGTTTCTGGTGAAGTAGCTAATGCCAGCCAAACACCACCTCCTTCTCACAGTCTCAGCTGAAAGCAAATAAACTAAATTAAAAAAAAAACAAAAAACCAACCCAACTGCTGAATGTTATGTTACAACTTGCTAAATTTGCCTTTTAGGAGAGCCAGCAAAGTTCTTCCCCCACTAGGCTCTTTACCCATTCCAATTTAACAGTGCCGACACTGATCCTCTGGAGGGAAATGAAGAATGAAAGAGAAAAGGGAAGGCACAAAAAGCAGGAGAAGCAGCTTTAGACACAGGAGAGAAGAAAACAAAGAGAATCAGAATCAGTATAGCAGTTCCACATGAAGCTTTAACTGCCCCAGTGTCCTGGGTCCGACTGCACAACAGTAGATTAGGGACGGGCTAAGCAAGCAATGATCCTTGTCCTAGTATACCCTACACCTACCAAGACAAGGCATTCAGCAAACTGAGAAGGACTACAGAACGAGATTCCCTTGATGGATGGGAGGCAAGAGACCAAAAAGTGGACTCAAAGAGGCAGGGCAGAAAGTTAGAGGCAAAGTGCAAAAAAGGAAACTGGGTGACACGCTAGAGCACAGCACTAGAGTCAACAGTTGGTGGGACGAGGTAACAAGATACTCAGATACTTTTGAATGGGGGGAAAGTACAAAACGGGGTGGCAGTTAAATACATAGGAGTTTAGAGGAAACAATTGGAGAGTGTGGGATTTCTTACCTTAAGTCTACTCAAATTCAGACTACAAGGAAGAAAGGAAGAAAAAGGAAGAAAACACTCCAGAATATTGTGTAGACAGAGAAAGGGAAGAAGAAGGAGACAGCAATACAATGACATTTTTAATTTTGCTTTTTAAACAAAGAGCAGGAAAAATGAAGACTTCAGAACGAAAATAACTGGACAATCTGACTGGTGAGCTAGCACCTCTACTGTATAAATAGTGTTTGTGCAGCCTAAAAATGATGCCACATCTGTGAATCAGCTGGACTTTGTCAGGAGCAGCCCAGACAGAAAAATGGTAGAGGACAAAAAAGTCAAAGGAAATGATAAAGCCACTGGAGTCTAGAAAAGCCCTGAGGTGAAGAGACTTTATGTAAGCAGCACATGATCAGCAAATGAGTCACCTACCCTACAGTGCACCAGCTCACACTCTATTCTGAGGAAATTATGATGGCTAAAGAAGTAAGGACAAACTCCCATCCAAAAGAGGCTAATAATTTTATATTTAAAACTGAATTAAGGAGAATGTGTATCTCTACCTATAGAATCAGTTGAAAACATTTCAACAATAGCACGGCTCATGTTGGCATCAGCACTTTAAAACAGTCATGAGACACTTCTACAGACAGAGGGTAACTGCCATCTTTAATTCGCAAAGCTCAAAAGCAAGCAAGATCTAATAATTAAAGGTCCAGGGTGCATTTACTTTGGCTAAGTTCATCTCATCTAATGTCTGGGTACCACAAAAGGCAGAAATGGCCTATCTTCCCTCCTTCCAGCCACATATACCTCTTACTTCCTTTGCACGGGTTTTATTATCTGCTTTAGCTTTCCATGAGCCGATTCAGCTCATCAGCCCAATGGAAAATATGGAAGACAAGGAAATCCTTTCCAGCCGTATTAGCTAGTTGAACTGGTTCACCATGAGGCTGGAGAAGTGTTACTGATACAGAAGAGAAAACAGGAGCCTACAGACAGTAGCAGTGGAGACTGCTGCAGGACCATCTACCTCCATCAGCAGCTACGAGCAGTTAAATTAGCTCAACAGCTGGTGTAATTGCATCCCAGAGCTGGTGAAATCATACCTGGAAATAAGTCTAAAATAAAATAAACCTTTCAAGGAAATGGATTTGGAACCTCCTACGTCTCTCAGAATCTCTAAGCCAAAGTGAGAGAGAAGTTGCAGGAAACTGTGCCCCACTATAGCTATGGTAGCTATTTGGGTGGAGTACCACCAAATACGTAGTGTGCATAATGCAATGCCAGACCAGATGATTACCACAAGAATCTCCAGTCTTATAAGCCAAACGTGTTTCTAATGAAGTAAAAGAAACCTCCAAGTACGACTTCCTCAGACTAAAGCTTCTTTCTGGTCTTTCCAGAAAGTCTCCATCAGAGGAGATCAGCTGCCCCAAATTCTTACCTTAACTCCAAACAAACAAACCACGTGCAATTTCTTCTGTCATTAATGCACAAGATGCAATAGCTATTTCTCCAAGAGGGTGATTAAAAAGACAAAAATGAGAGTTTTCCTAACCCATCAAGCACATGCCATATTTTTCAAGTATCAGATTCTAACAATGACCTCATCTGATGTGAGATTCATGAGCAGATTTGGGTATCACCACGGTATTCTTGAGTTTCATTACGATAAATGCACTTTCCTAAATTTAATGAAATCATCTTTACCGGAGAGTGTCTGGTAGGTCCTCTTGTAAAATACTTGTCACCAGCTTTTGGAATGTATGGAAGAGTTCCACTTTACATATCTTGGATCTGATTTTAAAATAGAAAATAAAATACATGAGAAATTCTGATGGAGAAATCAGAAATGCACTTCTTACAGCTCACAAATGTACAGCCCAGCTGAAAACACTATGTTCATTTTTCAAAGAATGTAAAAAGTTATCCACAATTTAACTTTTCCTGCCTCATCCGAGCTACCCACCTGCCTTTTGCCTTCATTTTAAATATTACATTGACAGCGTGCTGCATTGCCCCCATTGTCCCAGCCAGCACTCGGTCAGTTCGCAGACAGAACATTACAATACCCCCACACTGTTATCTCTGTGAGACTGCACCGACATCAGCTCACAACTGCAGCAGGGTTGAGCCAGGAGGCCTGGTCCCAGCACTGATCAAACAAGCACAGAATGACTGCCAAGGCCTGGCAAACTCTGTATTATTCAGAACAAATGAAAGAAACAGAAATATCTGGAACAATTCTGTCCTCTTCACAATGGTGATGAAGACATATTCAGCAACAGCTGCAGGGCGGTTAAATACAAAGCAGCTCATCAAAAAATACAGCGAGTCAAAGTTTGAAAGGTCTTTTGAAACCATATGCATCTCTGTCAGCTTTACGCCCTTCTGTTCCCCTGAAGAGAAGACAGCCAGGAGAGCTGTTTATGAAGCATGGTTTTGAAAGCCCCAGCTATTTTCTGCATTTACTTAAATTCCCTTTATACACTTGTTGGAAAAGTGAATCAGTCATTGTGAAGACACGTGGAAGCTGATTCTCCAGAAGCACTGGAAAAAACCCCACCAATCAAAAAAAACAACCAAAAAAACCCAAACCTTCCTATTTTGCTAGTATGTTCTTTAAGAACCCCAAAACTGACATGCAAAGATGCCCAAAAACTTCATCTCACGTTCATCTGTCAAAGGTTCATATCGCAGTTTTGGGAGTTTTAGTTAATGAGGTATTAACAAAAGCGCCTATCAGACATCTACCTACAAATTCCTTTTAGTCAGTCAGCTCTACCTTCCTAGTGTTACCTAGCATCTGGGGAGGGAGGGGAGGGGGAACCCCCAAACAACACCCCCCACCAATCAGCCTGAGATTCCTTGAGGGGAAGAAAAACAAGGTAGAAATACAAGTCTTGTTTATTATTAAACATGCCCCCATACAGCTATAAATTCTTGATTTTCACGATAAAAGTTCCTTTTGTGACTGCTTATCACAAAAGTATAAATAGTTTACTTATTCCTTGGCATTGTTTTTAAGCCCGATTTCCTAAGGAAATGAGTCCTTTGCAATCACAGACTCTTGTAGGCTCTCTCTAATAACTTTTCAGTGTTTTAGTGAATTTCAAGCACATGTAAAAAACAGAGGAGGGTCTCTCAGTAAGAATTAATTTCCTACAGTTTTGCACAAACTGTCAGCTAGCAGATGGCTCTGAACTTTTCAAGTTGATGCTCAAATGCTACGTAACAACTTTAAGCCTACTGAGGAAAAGGGGTTGCTTGGTTGGTTGGACCTTTCACACATCTTCTGGAATACATTACACACCACATACTGAAAACTAATATTCCAGAGCGCACAAAAGACTAGTCTCAAAAAACAACACTAGGTCACCTAGGTCACCTGCGCTAACAATACCCTAGACACCAATACTGGTCACAAACCACAAAGTTCCTGGTCCTCTTCTTTCCAGGGAAAATTTTGGAAATACTCTGATATACCAGGATAAACTTCATTCAAGTCAGGCCTAACTTTGAGAAGCTCAGAATGTGCAACTCACAGGCATGTGAATGAATACCCCAAAAGAATGGTCTAAACTCTAGTTATCATCTGATTCACCACTGTCATTATTATCTTCTTTCTCCCAGGAAGGCTGGGACAAAATGAACAATATGAACATTGATAAATTGGTAGTATAAGCAGCCAACAACCAAAATATGACCCTAATTCTCAAACTGAACCTCCACAGACCAATGGCAACTTTGGTCATCTCACCTAAACTGAGGAAAGAGTAAAGAGATGGAGAAATTTGTCTGCAGATGTTTACAAGTTATTCCTCTCAACCACAAGAAAAATACAAATTGTTTCTTTAAACATTAATAGTTGATAGGAGATTATGATGTTTCTTAAAAAGCAGTGTCAAGACAATAATTGGAAAGGTGATGTGTTTTCTGTTAGGAATCTGCTGCAAGCATTTAATAATGTTTTCAGACCTTAAGGCAGAAAGTCACATTTCAAAGCAACACTATTAACAATCATGCACCCAGGTCAGCTGGCCTGACTCTTAACAGAAAAATGAATCTGTAAAAAGAGCATCTGCAACACACACATTTCCTTCACAGTTATCAACTCAAGAGATACAAAGCAAAAATTCTGCTAACTTCACCAATAAATAAGCTGGCTTTTAAGAAAAATTGATCATAGACCCTCCCACCACCACCACCTACAATCCTTACTTTAATCAACAGTGATGTAGGAGAAATAGCAGAAATAGGATAAACTTGTTAACCATCATTCAACTCTTGTCACTTCACTTGCCCTTCCCTCCCTTACACAGTGACTCTTCCCTTTCTCCCACTCCCTCTGCCTTCCCCCTTTTTCCCTGACTCCCTCGATTTCTTTCCGCTCTGGCAATGCACTACACATCACCTGAACTAACTACTAAGAAATGCATCCAGGCAGCACAATAGGCTCACACCTGCTCTGAGGGCTCCCAATCGCCTTCTTTGTTGTTCCCTGCCGGAAGCCGTCTGAGGTGACATCTAGAGGCTGTTCAGGGACTGCACTCCAACTGATAGCTGTAGAAGAAAGGATTATGAACAAGGGAGATGCTTGCATCACAAAAGCGGAACTTAGCAGTTCCTTTAATTCTGTGTGTTCACATGATACTATACTGCTTCCCAAAAGAATTCAAACTAGAATGAGGACCATGGTTCTCTAGGGCTACAATTCCAGTACCGAAAAGAATAGGCAAAAATTCTATTTAATATATATATATATACATACACACACACACACAGCACTTTCATCTTAATCAGGTCCTTCAAGAACCCATGCAACTAAATAGTTGACCTCCGGCTTTGTCATTCCACCCTTTTTATAGGGATTCTATTTTCTTTCATGCACCCTGTACAGATAAAGCATGAAGAAATTTCCACATCAGATGGCTTAGTTTCTTATCAGGCTGTGACATACACCACCAAGCCACTTGCACCAGTCCCCCTATGCTTTCATTCTTAGTTTATTGTCTGCTACTATTTTACTGTGTTTGATGACTGACACACATCAAGTATCTATAGACTTTACTTGAAAAATGTTATTAGTGAGTATTCAAATAAAAATAATTTGTTGGAAGAGATGACAAGTGCCAACAACTTCATTCTTTACCCCTGTTGTGGTAACCTTATTACCATCTTAGACTGAACTTCTCAACGCTGAAACTCTGCATGCCACACCCTTATAGATTTATAAGTAACTAGCAAAGCATCTCTAGCATGTTAACAGAAACAAAACTGATTGGCATGCCCAGTCTATCCCTCCATCAGCTAACAATGGTTCCTTCAACTTCTGTTGCTTTGAGGCAGTTTTTGTTTCCCAAGTTCTCCCATTTCTCTGTGTTCTTAAACAGGCAAAACAGTTGCACGTGCATTCACTCTAAAGACAATTTGCACACCTTCTCTCCTTCATGATACCATCTTGCCATTCGAGATGCTCAAAAACTATACCTTAAAAAGCACATTATGGAGGCTGGTTCTGTTAATCACACTTGTGTTATGATTCAACTGTATGCTCCAATCACCATACTCTGCTAAGTGTAAACGGTACTTACATTGTGATTTAGGTATCATGCTGTATCACTCTGCTAAATTAAAATCCTGTGTAATGCCAAATAGCATTAGATACATACAACTGGTATTAAACATTAAACCCTCCATGGGTGGAGTATCTATTAACACAACCTGGTCAGAGGATATCAGATTCCGAGAAGCAGATAAAAATTTACTTAAACATGAAAGCATTTTCTGTTCTTCATTTCTTCACAGTTATCACAAACTTCAAAATATTAAACAGCATGCATTTTTCTTTTTAAAAATACCAGCTGTAATGTTCCTACCACACATATTTCAATGTAACAGCTCTGAGTTTAGAGTTTATTCTGATTTTCACCCCTTCGAGATAAAAATCAACCTGGCATCATTCATATATGCAAAGAAGTGTGATAAAGCATAATTCACCTTTAGTTAACAGAATTACCCGAGTAACTGTACAGAAAGGCAGGCATACAGGAATTTAGTCACAGCTGGCTTCAGAACTTTTTTGCTAAGTGAACTGGCACAATTTTTCAGTGATTGATTTTGTTTCCTATGTCACAGAATTGAAATTGTTTCCTTCCTGGCATCTGTAAGTAACTCCAAGTTAATTAATCTGAATTCCATCAAGGAACCCTTTGTGTCCACTATTTTATCATCTGCTCTACCATAATAGAGTAACTTCCAGTTCCAGTTAAGCCAGAAAAGTATACAGCAGCAGAAAGCAGGCATGTCCAAGCTTAAAGAAACTGCTTAAGCATACACATACAGTGGCAGTTCCATTGGTTTGGTTTTTTCTCCCAAATGAGACCGTGCTGCTAAATCACAACGTGACTTGCATATTCATTCACCACCACAACAAAAAATGCAATGTCCAAAACCTCTGTCAATTAAAACCTTTACAGTACACTACTCCATATCCTTTCTACGTTCACAGATTTCTGGAGCAATCAGAAGCATAACTCAGCATGGCAAGTCTTCTGTCCATCACCAAGGAGAATGCAAAACTAACTGAAACAAGAAGTCTTTTGATATTTTTTGGTTCTTATTGCCCTCAGGACTTTTGCTTTTGCTCATTGTTTTCTGTCTTTGTTTAGAATAAAAATTCTTAATGGCATGAACCAAGTGTTTATTCAGTCTGAAAACTCCCTACAGGAAACTAGAGGCTACGGTGAATACTATTAATTATTAACAATTAAGTTCTGGCCTGAAATTAACTTCTTGCTTTAAGTCACGCTTTGCCTCAAGCACTGGCAATTAATGTTGTTCCATTTTAGGAAACCACCGAAACCACCTAATTTCTATTTGGACTTTCGCACACAATTATGCAACTACCCCAAGTTAACTCACCTGCGCTACAAGGAACAAGTTTTGTTTTGCTGTTAGTTTGAACTTCCCGAATTGCCTGACGGCTGTGTTCAAATTGAAGATCTGACTGCAGCAGCTTAATCTCCTGAGCGAGAAAACCATCTGGTAAGAATGAGATGTGCTGACACCTAAAGTAAACACGGAAAAAATGCAAGTGATTTCACGTCTGGTCTCCCCAAACAGGCAGATTTTGTGCAATTTCCCTTCATAATCTAAACCATGTTACTTTTACATTAAAACTGAATTAAACGTGAGCTATAGAAGAGAGACAAGGAGATTTGGGGGCATTTTCTCCTTCATAAAAGTATTTGTTAAAAAAACCACAAAAGTTTACTAAGACCTTGTCTATCTTAGAAAAACTACGATGAACTGATTTTTTTAAAAAGCCTGCTTAAAAGCTGTTATAAATCGATTAAATATGCAGGGTAAGAACTGCAATATACTTCTGAAATCACAATGAAAAATAAAAACCATGAAGTATTTACATAGTCTGCGATATTACTTAAACAACTGTTTTATGAACCTCGAGGTTCATCATCAAAGACTATAAAGATACAAATATACTTACAGTTGCATGTGTAATCTCATCTTTGTTACTTTAAATTACTGTTACGCACTGAATGGGATTAGGATCATATCAGTAGGAAAAAAGGACACGTGCTTAATCATCATAGTATTTTCATAGAGCAGGAATTAAGACTGAGGTTCATGCTGTCAGATGAACAAAGTCTGAAAAAGTGCCCCACTCTGCAACCTAAGACTAAAGAAGCTGGGCCAATTCTTGCCACATGTGTTACAGACTGAGGAAAGGATTACCCAGTAAGCTCTCCTGGGTAGGTAGCTAGAGTTTCCCCTATTAATATACTATGATCTCTTTTAAAACCATCCTAGAATGCTGCAAGAATATGGAGAAAAGGAGTTACTAAACAAAGCCAAACCTTTCAGATGAACTGGTCCAGTAACTGCCTTGTACAGGGAGTGGTTCAGCTCCCCTGTTTCTTTCTTCCTCTCCTTGCCCTCCCCACTCTGTCCAGTTTCATCTACTCTCCTCTAATGCTTGCAGATGCCATTATTGCACTGATTCAACCTTCTAAGCAAGAAAAATACTCACTTCCTAACCTTCTGTTGCTAGGGTAGTTTTCATCAGCTCAAGAATCTGAGGAGCAAGAAACCCAGTGCACAGCCAGGTCACTTTCTTCATCTAGCAACAGCGCACTCCACCTCTCACATAAAGTTCCCTGAAGTGACAGGTTGCATTACCAGAGCTCCACTACTCACAGCAGGGAGAAAAATTAAATCCTGAATGTAATTTGGATCAAAGCAGCAGACAAATTCTTACCACCATGGAAACAGACAAAAGCTTTGCCTTTCCACTCTAACACAACTCTCAGCCTTTTTCCAGCTGACCAGTACAGTCACCTGCCAAGTGTCCTGAACCACTTCAAGATCACCTCCCTGGATCCGCCGGCAACACTTTGCCTAACGCAGGCCAGGATACCATCACCCTTCTTTGTGCCAGGGCACCTTGCTGACTCATTTTCAACTTGGGGTCTAGCAGGACCCCCCTGTCCTTTTCTGCAAAGCTGCTTTCCAGCTGGACAGTCCCCAGCATATATTAGTGCACGGGGCTGCTCCCACCCAGGTGCAGGACTTTGCACTTCCCCTTGTTGAACTTCATGAGGTTCCTACCTATCTCTAGCCTGCTGAGGTCCCTCTGGATGGCAGCATAATCACCTGACACATCAGCCGCTCCTCCGTTTTGAGTAATCAGCAAACTTGCTGGGGGTACACTCTGCACCATCATCCAGATCATTCATGAAGATGTTCATCAGGACTGGACCTAGTACTGACCCCTGGGGTACACGGCTAGACTTCCAACTACACTTAGTCCAATGATCACCACCCTCTGGACTCAGCCGTTCAGCTGGTGAACAGTCCACTTCATTGTCTGTTCATCCAGTCCATACTTTAACAGATTTTTCTATGCGGATCTTACAAGTAGCAGTGTCAAAAGCCTTACTGAAGTCTAGGTAGACAACAGCCACTGCTCTCCCTTCATTTACCAGGCCAGTCACTTCATCACAGAAGTTCTTCAAGTTGGTCAGCATGACTTCTCCCTGTTGAACCCATGCTGCCTACTTCTGACCATTTCCTTGTCTTTCATGTGCCTGGAAATGGTTTCCAGGATTAGCTGCTCTATCTCCTTCCCAGGGATCGGGGTGAGGCTGACCAGTTTGTAGTTCCCTGGGTCCTCCCTTCTTGAAGGATGGAGTGACATCTGTTTTCCTTCAGTCTTCGGGAACTCCTCCAACCACCACAGTCGATCAAAGATAATTGGAAGTGGCCTCACAATGACATCTGCCAGCTCCCTCAGTTCTCCTGGGTGCATCCCATCAGGGCCCAGGGAATTATGCACGTCTAGTGCTCTTAAGTATTCCCTGACCTGATCCTCTTCCACCAAGGACAACCAGACAGATATCCTGTTCACAGTGCAAAGTCTACCTATGCATTAATTTGGAGTAATTTCAGTCAAGATAGCCTCTAGGATGGACAGACTGAAGGCTTTTTAATTTTATTTTTGGAATGGCTGTGCAAGAAATAAAAGCTGCTTTTTCTCACCAACACAATTCTATAAGAGGGAACTTACAGATATTCAGAAATACTTTGTGGAGTATAGATAACTGAGTAAGTTAAAACTTTTCTTGACCTTGCTTGAGGAAATAAAATCAAATCCAGGAAGGAACAAGAAAAGCTCAGCTGCACTACACTATGTGTCCTTCCAGCTGCTTTTTCTGCTGGAGGGCTTCTAGGTGGGAAAAACTCAGGTGGGTAACAGCTTCTCAGTGCTCCATGAAGGGAAAACCAAGGGTATCCTGAATCCAATGCAAATTCTTCTGTGAATCTTTAAGTCTGATCCAACAGCAGTAGTCACCTTTTCTCCATACTACACAAGGCTACTTTCTGAAAATGTGAATTTGCAGAAATTAATATTTTCTGAAAATGGCTTTGGTGCAAAGTCCTGATATTTGTGTCTTGTCTTCCACAACTCATTGTCTCCATACACACCACCCAATTTCCAAAGGAGAGCACTTACCTTTCAATAATTGCTCTCCGCATAGCTTCTTGGCTATATGGACACTTCCCTACTACGAGTGCTGACAGATACAATGGATACTGCAGGAAATGCATCAGAAGAGCTCCTTGACACCCTAATACATTCCAGCGAGCCATTTTGTCACTGCAGGACATAGAGCATGTTCTGTCCCCCCGACCTGGCTTCACTCGTAATAATCCCACACAGTGATACTCTAGCCCAGGTATTCGGGCATCACCCCGCTCTCCAGGTACACATTTCGCTCCAGTTCTATAAACATCCGCTATCTTCAGTCTCTCCAAGCCAGTCTCCTTATTAGCTGTTTGCATCTCTGCAGAACATACACAGCTCTTTGGATTTGTGTCGTCTTGTTTCACAGGTACTGGCTGAACAGCCAGGTCTTCAGTGATTACAGAAAAATAACTATCGCTGTCAGTTTTCATTCTCTTGACTACATGATTACTTGTCATTTCCTCCGATTTCCTTTTATCTTCTGGACCCAAACAATCATGGTTACTTGTACACTCTGCAGATTGTCCAGTTGAATCATCTTCAGACACTGGCTTAGAAAGCTGGTTCTCTGGTTCACTAACTGGAATAATAGAGGCATCTCCACCTAGAACAAAAGAAGCTATATCAAAATTGGCCAAAAATGCATGCCTTATGACTGGAACACATCAAACCAGTAATATCATGGCTACTACCAGCTTTAACAAAGTTGCAGTCATGAAAATTTAACTACAAGAACACACTTTCCAAACATTTCCCTGTACAATGAAGAATTAAGACCCTGCTGAAATTTGAGGCAATACACGTTTAATTTCAAGTTCTGCATTCTACATAGGAAATAATAGAAAAAGCAAAATTAAAAAAAATCTAAAGCAAAAGGCATCAAAGGCTTGTGACAGACTACAAGCACTGCTGAAGACTCATAGGAAAACTAGTCTGATCTAACTAAACAATACAGTCCTCAAAATAATAATAACCTATCAAACGAGGATGGAAATCTTAAACTATGACTAAAACAAGCTCAAAATCAAAATTCTGAAGCTCAGTTCAAAGCAAACAAAGCCTGACAGGGAAGTAGGAAAAAGGCAGTCAGGAAACTATTCTTGCTATTTACATTAACAAAGAAAACCATCATAGCATATTCCAGCAACATCATCAATACAATGAAAATGTATGAGCAACTTATTCACTATGCAAAGTACTGATGAGGCATATTTTGAGAGTACTTGGACAACTCTGCTCTGGTAAGAGACTAGCAGTTGAAGAGCACACTATTAAGAGTGTGATAACATCAATATATCCAATAATCTGGTAGACCAAAAGGTCGCATTCCAACATTTTGCCAATAGATCCTCATCTTTGCGGTGCTGTGTTTCTGTCACCCAGAAAGAACGTGTTCCACGACAAAACAAAAAGTTGCATTCCATTCCATAAGAAGTTTTGGGTTGGAGGGGTGGTGATGTTTTGTGGGTATGGCTTTTTTGGCTGGGTTTTTTTTTTGTTGAATGTGGTTTTGGTTTGAGGGGGGGGGGTTTCCATGGTTTTTTTGGGGTGGGTTTTTTTGGGTTGGGGTTTTTTTTCCTGTTTTGGTTTGGTGTTTTGGTTTTTGTTTTGTTTGTTGGTTTGGGGATTTTGTGTGTGTGGTTGGGTGTTCTCGGGTTTTTTGGGGTTTGGGGTTTTGTTTTTGTTTGTTTAGGAACTGTGGTAAATGTCTGTGTCTTTTATAAAAATTTGAATCCAAGGAAACAACTTTTAAAGCAAAGCAAATAGGAGACATGACAGGACTTCTGACAAGTATCCATTATTGCTTACAGAGAAAGTGAAGCCTTCCACTATATAATGAGTAGGATATCAGATTTACTGAGTTAAAATATAAGTGAGATAAAATGCCAAAGGTACCTATCCCAGGACCACCAGTCAAGTACATCTTAGAGCGCATACTGACAACATGAGTTACTGCCTTGCTCTCACTCCAGACCAAGGAGAGACCAAAGAAAGGCAAGGGACAGAAGAGATTCTAACAAGTGAGAACCATTACATTGGTTCACTCCACCATACTCACATGGGGTATGACTGGAGAAGAAAACAAATAGGATATTTGGTTTGAGTTTCCATTTCCCAGTTTCAGTTCCCGGAATAAAGATACTGCAGTGCTGATGGGAAGCTGCCAGCCACATCTGATGGAGAAGATACCTGTTAGGCAGAAGGTTTTAATGAAACATTTACTTCATTTTTAATGTATGGGTAAAAGACAAAAATTAGATGCCTGCTAATGCCTGTTCTTCCCTGATGAAGTCTACGAGAGGCCAATCAGTCGAGTTAACCATCTCCTCAAATCATGTATCTAAGGTTCTCTCCTCCCATCCTGTATTTTTACCAGCAGTGCAACTCATTCAATTCCGAGAGCCAGTTTAGTGGCATCAAACTGCAAGAAATGTACTCATTTCTGTAGCACTACTATTCTCCTGGCCCAGTTCCTTGAACCAGCTTATCCCATGTAAACAAGAGGACTGGTATGTGGGAAACAGCAAAAAGGCTACTCTGGACAGCTCGCCATCAGACAAGCACTGATGTCACATGAAATAAGATCCTGCTTGTGTGTACAGAGGCTCTACAAGAACGACGAAGAAACCAAGTTTCTGTGAAAGGGCCTTAATGCCACCTAGAAGTGTAAAAATTAGGTTAAACTCCTGTTAACAAAGAGGAAAAAAAAAAGTGTCACCTACACAGAAGTAATACTGTCTCTTTTATTACATTCTCATTTCTGAAGCTGCAAAAATATGGCTATTTAAACTATACGTCAAAACCATTTGTATCGCAACAAACAACCTCAAGTGGCACTGAATAACAGCACGTGAACTTCATGCCTCACCTCTGGAAGCTCCTCTTGGCCACAATTTCAGCATGACTGTCATTCAGAACATCTCCTAAAGCAACAACCAAAGGAGAACAACACTCATCATTACTGAACAGGAGATGAACAAAGCAAACAGAATTTGACAGATGACAGTTCTTCAGATTTGTTACCATTTAAAGGCTTAACATTGGTATTAGGTTATTCCAAGATATTTAAACTGCCAATCACTACAAAAGGAGATAAACAGCCTGCACAGATGAAGGACAAAAGTCTTCACTCTGCAGCAAGTCAGAGACCTGTTTGAATAACAGAATTTTAGCTCTTCTGGTATCTGAAATCTTTTAAGTTGAATAAACACAGGCTTCCTTCAAAGCCTTCCTGATGTTTCTTCTCAATAGTAAATCTTTCTATTCTCAGATTAAGCATAACATTCAGAAAATCTCAAGTGTTTGTTAAGCTTTTGGTTGAAGTTTCTTCTTGCACTATGTCCTACAATTTAAATTACTTTTCTTGTAAATCATGCTGGTATTTACCAGGTTTACACATCTCACCTTCAAAACTTCCTGCAGTACTTCCTGCCTACTGCCATATCTGAAAGCTGTATATCAGCTTTTATTTCAGTAATAACAGGACAGGTGATAGAAGTCCTCTTTAACAGCTCTAAAGTTCAAACTTTAAAGTTCTCTATCAGATAACCATTAACATGACCTACCAACCAAGTTAACTGATAAACAAATGAACATTGTCGTAAGAGGAAAATATTTTCTAAGCTTCAGATCTCTGATGACAAGAAACAGGGAGAAACTAGCTTTACTTTTTCAAGTTTCTACTTTGACTCTCGATACCTAGATTTTAAGTAGTCCAACAGCTCTACCACAATTTTCCTAAACCAATCAGAAAAATGTCTGCACTAATACTCTATGATGGCTAAGTCACAAGAAACAACTACAAAATCTAAGACACAGGTTTTAGTTTCTTCTCTTTTGCTCCATTAATTCATTTCCATATGAAGGATATTATACAGAACACGGAACAGCCTAAAACTGATGCATGCAAAACTATTTCCCCTATCTTGATCCACTCCTCCTGTGAAGTCCAAAGAAGGTAGAAAGCCCTGTACCTACATATTTAAACACTTTTCCTCCTTGGACACTTTTCAGCATTAATTACAATAGCTTCTACCCTTTCCTAGGAGAGGAGATAGATACATTATGAATTAAAAAATGGGACGTGCAGAGCAAGAAAAGTCCTACGATCAACGGTAAGAAATTGGAACTGTGAGAAGTCATGTATCTCTCCTGTACATTTATTGTACAACCATTTAAAACTATCTAGTTGCAGAATATATGGTAAGAGAGAAAAAGACTCTTAGTACCATTCTGGTGTCAGCCTTTCCCTAACTCAGCAGTGGTATCTCTTACATCAGACCACAATAAAACCAGACTATAACAGGTGACTGAAGCAAAATTGTTTTGCTTATGTTTAGTCTTGCTTTTAGTTACGAAGTCTTTGGGTATGCAGACTTAGGGCCTAAACTGCACATTTCCATATATAAAAAGTTTGTTCACGTTTAAGGCAGCAAGTATAGCGAACTTTCACAGCAGTCATTCTGGCCTGACAAGATGAAGTCTGCTTTACACTTCTGGCTACAATCCACAAATCTGAGCTCAATGCCTTGGACATTTTCATTTATTCTGTGATACCAGCAAGAAAGAGGGTAGCATAGGTAGTCTGTTCTTGGGTTTTACACCAGTTTTACTTTACTTACCAGTTTTTCTCATTTTGTTTTGGCCAATACATTTTGTGCCAGTTCCCATAGCAACCACTTCCTTTGTTACTGAAAAAAAGAAACATTAACAGAACGAACTATTGCCAGAATCATTGCTCTTATACACTCATTCTGGTAAGGTAACACACAGAACATTGTGCAGAATGGAAGGTACAGGGAGGCAGGCCCTGCAGCATTCCAGGATGGAAGCAGGATCAGCTGGACAACTAAGCATAGCAGGCAGAAGCACCAGTGCTAGGAAAAAGTCCACAATCCCACAGCAGGAGTGCCAACACAGGCTTGATATGCTAAGCAACACAAAGTGGACACTGGCATAGGATTCCTCAAACACAAGGCGGCAGTATGGGATACGATTTGCGTGACAACATGGAAGTGCCAGTAAGTGAAGATGTTGGTGGAGTAACACACACAGTTTAAGGCAGTTTGTTAAAAGGATAGCAACCTGAGACCTTTCCAGGATTCTTTCAAATAGTAGCTGAGCACACTTTTGCAAAGGTTTGCATTATAAATTCATGTCCTGCCTAGGCTTTTCCCACTTATTGAACAGCCAAATGTAGACTTTTGTCTTCTTAGTTACAGCCTGGTAAGAACAGCATTTTACTACAGCCGTCTTTCCACACATAAGCTGCAGATTTTACATTCACAAACAGTAAAGAATTTGGGTGGAAACAGAAATGGGACAGGTATGGTTTTTTTAAAAGGTCTCTTGGGAGGGAAAACCAAACCAAACCGACAAAAAAAAAGGATCAAGGACTGTCACGCCCTCTATCCCTTCCCTCCTCCCACTCCATTCCCCACAACTCGTTCTTACCCTGCAGTTTCCCTGGACTAGCAGGAACCTCTCTCTGGGGGGCAGACTCCACTTTAACAACGGCTGCCAGTGAAGTCCATTCCCTGTTTGGGTCCGGTTTCCCCTGCTTCGGGAGTCTGGTCCGATAATGCCGGTAACACAGCTCAGCAATCCCATCAGCCGACCACATGGCTGCTGGTGCTACAGCAAGTTCTGGGCAGAACTGGATTCCCACACAGCACTAGTAACAACCCCAGCTCTTCAGACCCTACCGCCTCGTTATACAGGACACATTCCCGTACCAGAGCCAAACACCCAGGGCGCAACTGCCTTTCAGGCAGCCTTTTCAGGATTACTTCTAAGAAACAGATAATCTGAAATGAAAACTCCTCCCCCCCAAATCGCTAGGAGTAAAAACCCTTGCGGTCCAGAAGGAGGTGAAGCTGCCGGGTCCCTCCACGCAGCGGTCGGTGTCCACCGCGCGCCTAAGGCGCCTGGCGCCACTCCTTCTGCTTTAGC